ATTCAGTATACTGCCTAGACCTATATCAATACCTTTACTTTGGTCCCACTCTTTTAATGCCATACTATGCAAGACAACTTGAAAATTCAGACATGCATTTTCTTAAGACTCATCTGAACAGGACACTTCTAGGTAAAAACAAGTAATACCTTTGCAGAATACCTATCCCAAGTTACCTATGATAAATGTAAATTCTTTCCATGAATTAAGTACCTAGTAATCTATCATGATCACTAACAGCTTAAAGAATTGGCCTCTCGCGAAGTCTGTGAAATCAATGAGTACAAACATCTGTTTTACCCTCTTTTTTGGTTAGAAAAAAAAAGAAAAAAATGTGTCCATTTACATATAATTCTATATTGATTTCAGTTACTCAACCTCTATACACTCAACACTCACTCAGTTACACTATTACTCAACCAAGCTATCCAGTTAATGATTTCTACATACACCCTTTACATAAACACATGTACTCCTACTACATCTAGCACTCTACTCAGTTGTGAATGACAGTTTCTACCAACAAATAAAAAGCCTCTTCTTTTTGCTTACACATATACATACAACATCCATACATTTCCAAAGAGACTAACATTGAAGACACAAAGATTTCAATAAACATACCACTATTGCAAACACTATTCTTACAGTTAAAATTATAAAATTTATTCTAGATAAAAAAAATTCTTGTAATTGCTTATTTTTTATATCCTTTGTAATTTATGTATCCAATCTCCATTATACATCATGTATAACAAGAGAAAAATGAACTTTTATGCCCCAATCAACTACAGTGAATATTACCAATAAATAAATTTACAAATCTTTTACGTGGTACGGTAAATTAAGAATCTACACCTAAAAAAAGAAAAAAAAATAATAATAATAATGACATGTAACATAATGTCTGCAGATATGAAGTATTTGTATTATCAACTATCAAAACTACAATACTTGTAAATTTTACAACATAAAGAAACTTCTGCACAAAAAAGAAAGAAAAAAACATTTCAGCATCATATCAAAACTGAATGTTCAACAAATTGTTTCCTTTTCCTATTTACTAACATCCAAGCTGGATGAACAGTGAAAGCATCTTCTATGTATAAATAAAACATCCTAATTCAACAACAAATATCTTAGCAACTGGACTAAAAATGTTTCTACAAAAGTTCCAGGGGTGGGTTGGGGTGTTACTTTGGGAGCATCTAAACAGAGTATAAAATTGGAGAACTCAAAACAATGTTGTATCAAAACGACTGCATAACTTCATGCAATTTTACTGTAGGGGTCTGGTCTACAGCTGTCTGCATATGTGGACCTAATCACACATGTCCAAAACATGAAATAAATAAGATGAAAACAAAATAAATACAGACAAAAATCAAAGATAAATAGAAAATAATAATAACAATAATAAAAAATAAAAACAATCTCTGCTCTGATGCACTGCAGCTTCATCGGCAATAGTAACTCAAAAGTCTGTACCAAATGCTATATGCCGAGCACATGGATATGTATATAAAGCTTTTCAAGGAGCTAGTTCTTGTGAGATCAACTACCTGAAGGGGTTGGTGGAGGCTTTGCTCTCACGGGGCTTCTCCTGCTGCCTGAAAGTCCATCAACAAAAATAAAAAAAAAAGTTTTTCAAATCAAATAAATAGAGGTGAGAAAAAGTACACTTGGTGAAAATCATTATGGCCATTACAAGCCTCTTGTATTCCCTGTTAACAAAAATTACAGACTTTTACATACCTAAAGAGAGGGGTAGAATTAAAAATAAATAAAGAGGTAAATAAGCATATAGAAAACAAAATACAAAAAACAGTTAAAACATAATTATCATTTATCACTGTTATGTGCAATCAGTTATCATTCTATTACCAAGCAATCTAAACTATTCATATTTTACATTACAATGAGGGTCATATTTTAATACTGTTAACTGTACAACACTACTTATGATCTACCTCAAGATTATATTTTCTTATCACATTATCTGTAGAAAGTCCTGTTCTTTCTTTTTCTATTTCTAATATGAAATTTGTATGTACTTTCAAAAAATACTAAAAAGGATTATTTTGTCACAACAGAAATGCATAATGTGCCATACTGTCATCAAATTGTGTATCTTTAAGCATAGCATCACATGAAAATAACCACCACAAACACCAAAAACAACTAAATATGCCATCAAGATTTCTCTCATCTGCTTCACATTATCTTATTCAGAGATGCAGAATCATGGCATGTCAAGCAACAGTACTTTGCTTTCCTTTTCAATGCATGATCATCTAATGTGAGGCTTCTGCCACTTAACCGTCTTTACTGCACATACAGCCTTCTAACTGCTTGAGTTGTAATTCTGATATCTGGAGACAGATACTGGTTGTGCACTAAACCAACTCTTTGTGCTGTTTACAAGTATCATAGACTATTACTGTCTTGTAGTACATTTTTCTTCATTGAATGGCAGTACAACTTCTCATTTAACGCTATG